CCAACTCTTGACTTGGTGACAATCCTTATCTTTTTATCTAAATAAAACGTTATTGATAATGTCAAAATTTGAACCAAACTTCCACATAAAAGTTCCAGAAACTTGTCTCAGCATTCTAAAAAAAAAAAATTAAGGTCATTTGGACTTTTAGAACTCGAGATATGAGCTGAACATTGAATAGTTTCTAGGCTGCAGGATAGATTTAAACTTCTACGTTGTTGCTAAGATTTTAAACTTTCAAACAACAAAATTGAGTCTTGACTTCCACATGAAAATTTTAAGCCTATGTTTTAGCTTTCCATTCATATAAAATAGACCTAAATATGAGATCTATAGCTGCAGATATGACCCAATTACAAAATAGTATTTCAGTTTGAACTACGCTAACATTTTTTTTCTAAGTTTGGCCCTCTTTTTGTCCTTTCAATTTCAATACTTCAACTCATTAATCAATTCTTTTATTTATGTGATGAACCTGCATTTAGGATGAATATTAACCATAAATTAAAGGTACCTTATGGTATCAAACTTGTTATTATAAAACATGCTTTAGTTAAGGAGTTATTGATACTTCAAGTGCAAAATGATAATATAAAACCTTGATAAAAATACACTTTTAAGTATTAATCAATCTCCTCATCCATAACAATTCTTCACTTTTCATCATGTATTGCTTCTTCAAACACTACAGGATCACATGTAGCAATATGACAATATAGTATTACATCGTTATCAATAAGATTAGTTACCTTGTATAAGTCATTAAGGCTCTTCATCTCTTTTGGTGGACTTGGTGGAATACCGCTACTTGAGCTTTCATTAGAAGAAGAAGAAGAAGAAGAAGTTGAGTTCAACCATCTTTGTGAAGGTGTGACTATAGGTTCTTGATGATCTTTATATCTTTCCTTCTTTTTATCAAGAACCAGTAATAAATCATATTTCTCACCATCTTCATTGAACTCAACATCTCTACTAATCACCATCTTTCCTTCATTAGGGTTGTAAAGCTTTTATCCTTTGGACATTTGGTTATAGACCACAAAGCACATAACCAATGCTTCTAAAAAATTTCAAGTGAGAAACACTTGGTTTTCTTTTACTCCATGCTTCTTGTGGAGTTATGCCATTCAAGCTTTTAGTAGGACATCTATTTGACAAGTAGATAACACAATCTATAGCTTCAGCCCAAAACTCTTCAGGCATCTTCTTTGTTTTGAGCATGCTTCTCGTCGTTTTGAGCATGTTTCTATTCTTTCTCTCCATCACGCCATTTTGAGGATGTTTCTATTTTTTCTCTCCACCACGCCGTTTTGAGGTGGGGATCTGGAAACTATTAGGAGTCTCTTTATATCATGATCTTTACAAAACTTATTAAAATTATTAGAAGAAAATTCACCTCCTTATTCGTCCTAAGTGATTTTATAAAATAACAACTTTTTTTTTCAACTAATGCTTTAAACTTCTTAAAACAACTAAATACATTGGACTTTTCTTTTAAGAAGTATACTCAAGTCTTTCTACGATAATCATCAATAAAAAGTAGAAAATATGAATTTTTACCAAACAAACATGATTTGATAGTACCACAAACCTTGATATGTATTTCCTATAGGGGTTGATTTACTTTTGATGTAGACTCCTTCAAAAAAATCTTGCGAAATTGCTTGCCCATTAAACATCCTTCATATAATTGATTTGGATGTATAATGGATGGTAGACCCTTCAACATCTCCTTTTGTGCCATCATCTTCAAGCTATCAAAGTTTACATGCCCAAGTCTCATATGACAAAGCCAAGTTTCATTTTTCACATACATATTTAACCATTTAGGCATATCCGTCTCTATGTCTAGCAAGAACATTTTATTCTTTTTTACGACTACCTTTGCAGTCATATGTCCTTTAGTGTTAAGTAATGTCAAAGTATGATCTTTTATCTTAATCTCACACCCCTTCTCCAGCAATTATCCTAAGCTCAGTATGTTGCTTTTCACTATTGGTATATAATAGACATTACCAATAAACGGATGACTTCTATCTTTTAATTTAATCAAAAGCATTCCTTTTCCTTTGATGGCAACCTTTGAATAATTTGCAAAGGTGAAATGACCACTAATTGCTTCATGAAGCTCTATGAATTTATCTGTCTCCACATATGTGGTTACTTGTTCCATTGTCTAGGTACCATATGATCTATTTATTTTGTATTATCTCATTATGCACTAGTAGTAGAGTGGTTTCCTTCTCTTCTTTCTATCATAAAATTTTCATTCTCTTCAACCCTCTTGATTGGATTCCAACAATCCCTAGTATAATGACCTGTCTTTTGATAATCATATTATTTAACTTTTGATTTGTCAAACCTGTTATCAAATCTGGATCTTAGATTACTATTGCTAATTAACTAGTCAACATATTCCCTTTATTCGGTCGACTATTTGATTTGTTAGGGTTGCCTCAATCTCCTTTTCCTCCTTGAAAATATCCAGAACCATCTTGCTTTGAAAAAAGTGCTTGTGCACCACATCCTCTTGAATCTCATTGACTTTTTCATCATAAGCTTGTAATTTTCTCATGAGACCTTGTATTGAAAGAAAATCTATACTTTATAACTCCTCTATCGTGACCACTACATAATGAAACTTTTTTTGCAACGAGTGTAGGATCTTCTCTACCACTTCCATATTTTCTTCATGTCTCTTTATTTGATTATATGTCGTACATGTGCGACATAGAGGAAAAAACATCCAAAAACTTTATCTTAATCTAAAAATAAATTGCAAATGTTAATAAATAAGGGATTCTTGTCTCTTATCAATGGAAAGTTGGAATGTGAGTCGCCACCTAGTATTTTGGATCACTAGAAACCCTGACTAGTATCATAAATCGAGTACAGGGATTGGTTGTGTAAATGGAAGGTATTAGCACTCCAAATACGCCCTACCTAAGGTAAGCTGTATTATTTTATTGTTTGATAAAATCTAAGGTCTGGTAATGTTTTTTAGTTATTGGTTCATCTATGGTTTAAGAAAAGTCCTCCTCGGTAAGGAGATCTTTATCTTATCGAGTAAACCTAGCCCAGCTTGGTCACTAGCCCATGCTAGTGACTAGCCCATCTCCCCCATGCACATGTAATATTTTATGGGTGCATGAATAGTGCGAAAGGTAATTAATTTAACTTCGCATTGTTCATCATCCTGCTTACAGTAACAAAATAAAAAAAAGAAAAAAATAATAATGATGCAGCGTTGATTTCGTTACGTTTTCTTTTCTTCTTTTACATATCAAACATGCATCATCTGATTTTATAGGAACTAAAAAAAATAAAATAACGTATCTGGTTTTGAGAAAACGAAGATGACGGTGATGCTGTGTTGTCTGCCTTACTATGTCCTCTTCCGTTCAGGTTGATTCGTCTGCTCTCCCTTTTGCTTTCTTAATATTTCTCCGCTTTCTCCCCTATTGCTTACATTCTCCTCTCTGTGTCCCTCTTACTTTCTCCTTAATATAAGCTCTCCTATTTTTTTACTCTCCTTCCATCTCGCCTCCCCCTCTGCATTTGATTCTTCTTCTGGCTTTTATAGCCAAAGGATGAGAGTGTTTTTGGTAAGCCAGCATGCATCACAGTGTTGAGGGTTGTCAGCCGCGATACGCTCCCTTGATTTGAAAACGGCTCCATTATTGCTGCCAACATCTCCTTCCTTAATTATCACAGAACACTAGTTGTTACAGATGATGACATGGTGGAAACGACGCCACTTGGTTTCTTTTGATTCAGCCATTGAATTTCTTGCAGTTTTGTAATCAAATCCCCGCCAAAATTCTAATCGGATCCCTTAATGTTAGCGCCTTTTCTAGTTTGATCGTTAGTCTCAGATTGTTTTAATTAAGTTCCTAATTGACCATCAAAATTTAATAATTATGTAATTAAACCCCTGATTTGGCCAAATCAACTCTTTCAAAATTATAATTGGACCCCAGAACTTTAATTTCTTCCAATAAAAGCTTAAATTGACTTAAAAATCAATTTTTCTTGCAATCAAACCCTTTATAAATTCAATTAAACCTTTGGATAAAATTTAATTGAGTTTATAAACATCTGATTTTGAACTTTTCTATCTTTTCTTTAAAAAATTAAAATTTCCTTGTTCCTAGGGCTCATCAGTAAAATATACTATCAAATTTTAACCTTTTACATTTTTGAACCTCCTAAACTAATTTTGACTTTTCTTTAGCATTCCAGTATCCTTTTCTTACTTCTATTATTTTTTTTTCTTTCAAATATATTATTTTTTTGTATTTTCTTGATTTTTATGTGGGAACCAAAGAACAGGTAACAACATTGTATATGACCAATCCTCTTGCAAAGTATTTTGAAATATTCTCTGATTCAAGCATATTTAACTTTTCAAAGTTATCATGTTGTTTTTATAGACATACCTTTTTCAAATTTTCAGCTTTTTAATTTGATTCTTGCAAAACTTCCCATGCTTGCTTAGCGTTGGTTATATTGACCACTATCTCAAAAGTGGCATCATTCAAACATTGATGGATGATTGTTAATGCTAGTTGATCCTTCCTTCATGCCTTTTGCACGACCTCTCTTTGGGCTGAAGTCAATGTTGCTCCATCTATAGGCTTTTCAAAGCCTTTTTCAATCGTCTCCCATACATCTTGAGAACCTAGCCAAGCTTTTACTCAAATATACAAAGTTTGATAGTTGTTCTTTATTAATCTAGGGACATTGAAGTTGAAAGTTTGAATTGACCATGTTAAATAATCAAACCTAAGCTATGATACCACTTGTTGGAAAAGAAGGACAAAGTGTGGTAGCTAATTTATAAGAACAAAGTTAAAGAGCAAGAAGAAGAATGAGATAAATGATATTTTATTAAGAGTTTTTTGAAAAAATACCTTTCTAGCTTTTCTCTATATTTCTCTCAACTTGTGTATTATGCTTAAGATTACAAGCCTATTTATAAACTTCAAGTCATAGACAACCAAAGAATTAAACTATTCAAAAGAAATTCTAATTTAATAAGAAATCTAACATTCTAACTAAACAAGGGTTCTAATAAACTAGTTTATTACAAATCCTTCCTCATCAAGGATTTCTATATTAACTAGGATTTCTTTTCTAGCTAATATTAAATTTTTTATAAATTTTAAATCTTATTAGCCTAAAGCTTATTTAATTTTGAACTTCAACATGGACTTACAGACTCGGCCTCCATGGTTTGCCTCAGTTACTTATTGCTAGGGAATCTGTGAAGAAGGTCCACAACAGACCATGGAATCAACAAAATTGCTAGGGCAGTGTGGTGCTAATGCTATTTGCAGAAGTAGATAAAAAAGTTGCTGTGATTGTCTAAAATGGTTTTTGTCCAATTCATCACAAGCACAATTCGATGTTCAAAATACGTTTGGATACGCCAAATGTGAGAGGAAATTGACCTTAGAGTGCCAAAGAGGAGAAGGGTTCCTAAAGCTTGGAAGAACAAAATTGCCTGATTTGATAGAGTTTCGACTGGTTGAGAGCGTGAATTTTAACGAATGTGAAACAGAATGTTTCAAGAACTGTTCCTGTGCAGCTTACACACATTCGAATACAAGTGGAGCAGGCAATGGCTGTATTATGTGGTTTGGTGATCTAATCGATATCAGAGAGCAATCAAGAACATTGACGGGACAAGATATCTTCATGCGAGTACCCACTTCAGAATTAGGTATGTGCACTTTCTGATTTATGGTTCCACCTACTTCCAATTCAAAAGAAAAATGATACAATGCACAAGCAGGCTAAGTAAACTTGCCTTTAGCGTTTGTCCATGGTTTCGAAATTTGTGACAGATTGAAAAAGAAAATGAAAGAAGCAATGCATAATATGTTTTACATTTGTCATTATGCTTTCATTATACATCTATTTATAAATTTAAAGTTCTAAACAAATAAAAAATTAAATTAAACAAAAAAAAACCTAATCACATCATGAAAAATAATCCTGTAAATTTGACTGTTCAACTATTTTTTAAATCGCAGACCTGTTCTTTTAGTTTAACTGGTCAACTGGTAAATCGATTCAATTATTTCTGTAAACTTATTATTATGTTTTTAATTATAAATTTATTTATAGATTTAAAATTTTTTAAAAAATAAAAAATTAAACTAAATAGAAAAAAACCTAATCACATTAGAAAAAGTAATTTTGCAAACTTAACTAGTAAATTATTTCTCAACGAGATCGATTCTTTTAATTTAATCAGTCAACTGGTTTTTAACCAATAAACTGATTTTTTTTATGTTTTTTTTTTAAATCTAGAAATCTAAACAAATTAGACTTACAGAATTGGTCTGGGTGAACAAAATATGTGAGGAAATTAACTTCCGTTATGCCAAAGAGAAAAGGGGTTTCTTAAGGTTTCCTGGATAAAATTACCCGACCTAGATTTTCCGCTTAAAAAGAATATAACTCTAAAGGAATGTGGGACGGGGTGTATATGAGAAACTGCTCTTGCAATGCTTGCACAGATTTGAATGTCAGTGGAGGCAAAGTCTGTTTAATGTGGTTCCAGGACCTAATTGATATCATGGAGCAACCGAAAATGGTACAAGGAGAGGATATCTACAAGGGAGTGCAAATTTCAGAATTCGGTAAGCTATAAGGAACTAACTCCTTGCATTCCAAAGCTATTTAAAGAGTAGAAGCATAAAACAAATGCAAACCACAAGTAATCTGCTTGATTTTACTTGTCACCTGTCTCCTCTGTTGAAATAGAGTTTTTGACAAGTGAAACCAGAAATTAGCTATAAATAGATAAAAGAAAGAAGAATAATTTCTTTTTACGAATGTTTTTTCCTTTCCATTCTTTTTATAGAATCGTCCGACAGCTCAAATAAGACGAGAAGGCTGAAGATAATTATGGGGGTTTCATTTCCACCAGCTCTGAAGTATTTTTTTGGGCTTGGTATTCTGCACGAGTAGGAAGAAAACATAAAAATTTATGCAACCTTAGTCATTTTCTACTCTTCCAATAGCTTCCTCTGACAGAGGAACATTTTGGGAAAGTAGTTTCTCTCTCTCTGTCTTCAATCTTAATGTCACCTATCCATTCTATAGTCGGGGAAAGCCAGAAGGAGGAAGTAGACGTACGTCTGTTTGAATTGGCGACTATCGCTAATGCCACGAATAATTTCTCTCAAGCTAATGTAATTGGAGAAGGTGGATTTCGTCATGTTTATAAGGTAAACAAGCTTATACATGCACACTAGCAAACATAAACAAGCTATACATGCACACTTGCAAACAGTAAACAAAAGGGATGCCTTGTGAAATTCAAAAGTAGAAAAATAAACATGAATTTTCCTTTTTGAATTTGCAGGGTCAACTTTTATCAGGACAAGAAATAGCAGTGAAGAAGGTGTCAAAGAATTCAAAGAAGGGTGCGGAAGAGTTCAGGAGTGAAGTAGTTTTAATTGCCAAACTCCAACATCGGAATCTTGAAGGGCTCTTGGGAATCTGCATGCAAGTAGAAGAAAGGATGCTGATCTACTAGTATATGGCCAATAAGAGCTTGGATTACTTCATATTTGGTTCGTGCCTGTTGACCCTTATCTTCCATGAGCATATATAATGCTATTCGTGCATCTAAACTAATATGATCATGTGATTTAATAGGGGTGAAATTCCAATCCTCGACCCTTTCTCCGTTTATTTGATCTTAACTCTTAATGCTTCCAAAGCTACAGCGTATATGATTCAGTATCTTACAGGGGTGGAAATGATGTGCAGATCATACTAGAAGCGCATTATTGGGCATGGAAGAGCGTTTCAACGTTGTTTTGGGTATAGCGAGAGGATATCTGTATCTCCATCAAGATTCAAAACTTCAAATTGTTCACAGGGATCTCAAACCCAGCAATATTTTGCTAGACACCTAATTGAATGCTAAATATCTGATTTTGGCTTGGCAAGAATTTCTGGTGACGATCAAGAAGGAAAAACAAAGAGAGAAGTTGGAACATGGTAAGTTCTGTTGTTATACATCTCATGCTTGTTTTGTTGACAAAAATTTACATTTGATTTTTTCGTGCAGTGGCTATATTTCTCGTTAATATGCCATCGATGGCACCTTCTCCGTGAAGTCGGACATTTTTAGCTTGGGCGTGCTTCTGTTAGAGATAGTAAGCGGGAAAAGAAATCGAAAATTTAATCACTCGGATCACAGCCACAATCTCCTAGGACATGTAAGTAGGAAAAGTTTTTATGAGCTCTCCCTCATAATTTCATAATTTCATGTTAAATGATTAAATACATTGTAATGATTCAGGCATGGTTGCTATGGAATGAGGCCAGGGCCTTGGAACTAATGGATACATGTTTCGTAGATTTATGTGTCGAATCTCAAGTACTAAGGTGTATTCAGGTGGGCGTAATGTGTGTCCAAAAGCTCACTGAAGACAGGCCAGCAATGTCATCTGTGATTTTCATGTTGGAAAGTGAGGGAGCTGTCCTGCCTCAACCCAAGCAGCCTGGTTTCTTCATAGAACGAAGTTTTGGTATGGAAGAAGAACATTATACAGAAAATGCACTT